TTCCAAATCTTTTCATGATTTTAATCAAGGTGCTCACGTGATTTGATGCACTTGGCGATGTAACACCCGTTTTATCACAATATAGATCTTGATTATCAATCAGATCATCTTGACTGGGCGCCGCCAATTTGTTTGAATCAAATGCAGTGATACGAGAAGTGGAATCTGATTGGTCCATAGGAGAGGTTTAGAAGGGGCATAACTCGTAATAACCAGTGGTGGTGCTACGATCGAGCCCAGGATTTCCAGCCGAGTTCGGCAAGGGTGGAAACTGGACTTTTAAAGTCAGTAAACTCTCTTGCCTCGGGAAGATGATGCATAGACAGTTGCTGAAGATGTAGCATACGGTAACACGTGTGGAAATCAGCTGAAGGTGATAACGATTCCTATATTATTCCTGCTGCATGTGTCCGTGTCCCCTTTCACCAGACCCGTGAAGATCCGGGGTAGAATAGGTCTTCAGGAACCAATGCTTGCCAAAAAAAGGCGACAATGCTTGTCGTAAGAGGCGACCAACGGGATCGGGTGGTCAGGCTCGCTGACTTGGTTGAAGCACATCATCGATCCCAATTGCGTGGATCGATGCTTATGATATAAATCACTGGATTGTCTGGTCCAGACTTGATTATTTACAGACCTCCGTCTTATAGCTGGAATATTTCTGAGTGCCGCGTAAAACATCAAACCAACCCTGTCACCAACTGTCACAGTGATTCATGGTGTGATCTGTACGTACATCTGTAGGGACATGTTACATGGAGTTCAATCAAACATGTATATCAGCTAAATCCGGAATTGATACACAGAGAAGTGCATTACGAATGTGTGACCATTTGCACACATATCGTTTTCTCACAACAAAGGATGTGTCAGCTGAGTGAGTGAGTATGGTTTTACGCCGCTTTTAGCAATATTCCAGCAATATCACGGCGGGGGACACCACAAATGGGCTTCACACATTGTACCCATGTCGGGAATAGAACCCGGGTCTTCGGCGTGACGAGCGAACGCTTTAACCACTCGGCTACCCGACCGACCCTGTGTCAGCTGAAAAGGAAATATATTCAAACTGCAAAATTTGCGTTAGCCTTGATATAAAGTGTTTGCTTGCGCAGTCGACAATCTACACAAACTATTAATACATACAGACACATATTAGAACGGACGTGTTGTGATATCTAGTACACATATCGCAAAGAGTGTATTGTAAATCGGAGTCTGCCAAGACACAGACCAGGAATCAAATGTATTTAATGAAGCCCACGTAAAAGGGTCTCATCTGGCCCGACGTGCACAGAACACTTTTAGAGCTGCAATCATTGACCGTCCTTCTCGTTACGATCACATGCCTCGCTTACAATCATAACATGTTACATCACTGACATGTTTTGATTTTAAAATTTAATTAAAGATTGTCCCCAAAACAAGCTGGATTAATCACTATTGTATCGTACAGCTAACCGCCGTTTCCCTGTAGAGGTTTGTTGGTGGACTGGTATTTGTCTTGAAGAAAAATGCGACTGTTTACTGTTACATATTTCATGCCGATTTCATCATGTTTGAGAATGACGTTATTTAGTTGGAATATTGCTGAGCGTTATACAACAAACGAAAACATTCAGAATGTCGTTACTTTTCAACACAGAGAAAGAATATAGTTATATTCACTACATCTTTAATATGTTTATGTTCCAAAACTGCCTGGTGTATTGAGAGAATTGCGTTTTACCCTAATATAATGCAAAATGTTCTGTTATGAACTAAAACGTTATCGTGTGGCCACAATCAATAGATATGATGTAGGGTGTTATTCATACATTTAGGTCCAAACTAACGTGATATCATTGTAGTCCCTCATTCAACTTGACACAATGGCTTTTAAGAGTTAAAATAAAATAAACGGCTTATGTTTAAACTTTAAGATTTTACTTTAAAAAACTGATTAGATTCACATCGACTTGAATACAGGAGTGAGTGAGTGAGTTGGGTTAAACGCCGCTTTTAACAGTATTACAGTTATATCACGGCGTGTCAGCTTAACGTGGGAGGAAAGCCCGAAGTGATGCAGGTCTCAGACGTTTACCACTTCGGTTAAACCCACGAGCACGGGTATGGTGCTGACAAACCTAGAAACATAATCAGGGCGAACCGGGATTCGAACCCACAATCATAGGATTCTGGCGTTCCCAAGGGACAGCGAATCGTGGCGCCTTAGACGACTGGGCCACCCGTGCCCCCTTGAATACAGGAAGAACTTTTACGGCCTATATTGTCGCCAGCGTCAATATATGGCCGGCGACAATATAGGCCGTAACAAGAACATATCTCAGAATATGCGCCAGAATGATTGGTTATCGAGCTTGGAACAATTGGACAGCAAGGTGTTTGGGTCATGTCGTAATGACCGAGTATTTACTAATAACTCGAAGACACCCTGTATGATCTTTTATTAGGAGTGGTATGCCGTTAATGTGTATACATGCAGCAGCATGTGGATGTGTTGTTGTCATGAAGGTGCCGATTTATCAAAATATAATAGACGCCTCTTAAAAGTATGACAATGATTGCGTTAGGTAGCATCGTAGCGAAGATCGGAATATGACTTCAAGCCTACTATGATCACCTTGTGCCAGTGAAACACTTCATGCACGCTAACTGCAATACCTGTGTCCACCGATTGCCATGGTATTAGGTAAATCGTAGATAGAAGCACACTGCGGCTCGCAACTGTTGTTTTGTCGTGTGACCTGTACCAAGCATCTCAGAAGCTGTAGTATCAGTGGTGACAGATTGACTAATGGATTGACTTCTTTCAGCAGAGCAGTGCTAGTACCTTTACCAAGAATGTGGTCAACAACTGGGTTGGGCAGGTTACAGAACATTAGCATAAAAATATTCAAGCCGACCATAAACAAACACCAGGGCAATTTAATCTCATCCGTCTGCTATCGCCCCATCAACTTGAATCATCTGGAATCGGTATTGTAACCTATTACAACACACTGTAACTACACACTGTAACAACACACTGTAACGATACACTGTAAAAACACACACTGTAACAATACATTGTAACAACACACTGTAACAACAATCTGTAACAATACACTGTAACTAAACACTGTAACTACACACTGTAACTACACACGGTAACAACAAACTGTGACGACACACTGTAACAACACAATGTAACAACACATTGTAACAACACACTGTAACTACACACTGTAACTACACACTGTAACACGATACTGTAACTACACATTGTAAATACACACTGTAACTACACACTGAAACAAGACAATGCAACTACACACTGTAACAAGACACTGTAACAAGACATTGTAACTACACACTGTAACTACACACTGAAACAAGACAATGCAGCTACACACTGTAACAAGACACTGTAACTACACACTGAAACAAGACAATGCAACTACACACTGAACCAAGGCACTGTAACTACACACTGTAACAAGTTACTGTAACTTCAGACTGTGACAAGACTTTATAACTACACACTGAAACAAGACACTGTAACTACACACTGAAACAAGACAATGCAACTACACACTGAACCAAGGCACTGTAACTACACACTGTAACAAGTTACTGTAACTTCAGACTGTGACAAGACTTTATAACTACACACTGAAACAAGGCACTGTAACTACACACTGAACCAAGGCACTGTAACTACAGACTGTAACAAGATACTGTGACTACACACTGAAACAAGAAAATGTAACTACACATTGTAACTACACACTATTACAACACACTGTAACTACACACTGAAACAAGACTTTATAACTACACACTGAAACAAGATACTGTAACTACAGACTGTAACAAGACTTTATAACTACACACTGAAACAAGGCACTGTAACTACACATTGTAACTACACACTGTAACTACAGACTGTAACAAGATACTGTGACTACACACTGAAACAAGAAAATGTAACTACACATTGTAACTACACACTAAAACAAGACGCTGTAACTTCACACTGAAACCAGTCTTTGTAACTATACACTGTAACTGCACACTGAAAGAAGACACTGTAACTACACACTGTTACAAGACGCTGTAACTATACACTGTATTAAGACAATGTAACTACACACTGAAACAAGACACTGTAAGTTCACACTGTAACAAGACAATGTAACTACACACTGAAACAAGACACTGTAACTACACACTGTAACAAGACGCTGTAACTATACACTGTATTAAGACACTGTAACTACACACTGAAACAAGACACTGTAAGTTCACACTGTAACAAGACAATGTAACTACACACTGAAACAAGACACTGTAAGTTCACACTGTAACAAGACAATGTAACTACACACTGTAACAAGACGCTGTAACTATACACTGTAACAAGACATTGTAACTACACACTGAAATAAGACACTGTAACTATATACTGAAGCAAGACACCGTAACTACACACTGTAACAATAACCTTCTTGCCGTCCCGTGGCTTTATTCCCTGTCATCAAGTGTCCTGAGTTATTTTCCTACTGTTAGAAAACTAACTGTTAATCCCCACCCAGCTGTTGGCCATTTGCTTGATAAACGTACAAGCAGCTGAGTTACAATCCATCAGTCAACTCTTCACTTATACCACTCATTAAATCCAGTACAATTCTAGCCGATCCCATAAACTAATTGCCTGGCCCTTGTATCTCGCCTCAACATTACAGTTACGCAACTGATGACGCGGACACGATATGTTAGGGTGACACTCCAGCATCCATATCATCTGGACGGGTGTCGTTAAATGAACTTCAGATATACGACCGATGGCGTCAGCAAACATTGAAATAACGCTTGACCATTTGAAGACCTGTGTCAGCAGCATCTTGACCATCTGAGTAGGCTGCCGTATAGATCTGTATCTTGTGACTACGTCCTTTACGTCATGACGACGTGGTCAACTCGGGGTCAGTGTGGCCAGGAGGGCGGCAGTCGCTGCCATGAAGTGGACCTGGATCTATGTGTGTGTTGTCTTGTGGATGGGATTCAGCCTCACTGATGTAGAAGGACAAACTGAAGGTAAGTGTGCGGGGGGATATTGTCGGATGCGCGAATGCCTTCCGGACATGTTTGTACATGTAAAAATATGCAAAAAAGTATCTTCATTAATCAAAGCGCGACAACGCGACATTTTGACCATTTGTCGCATTGTCGCGTTTTGAATGATGGTATTGTTTTAAACCAAAGGACGACAACGCGACAGTATGACATTTCAAGGTCAAAATATGTCGCGTTGTCTCACTGTCCCATCTAAAATGAGTTTCCACACTGGTTTGGGCAACATTTGAGATGTAGAACAGACGGTGACACCATGAATTGGCTTCAGGAAAAGTACCCACGTGTGGAATCGAACCCGGGTCTGCCGCTTGGTGAGTTCTGTGTCTACCACTATGTTGTGCCACCGTCAGTTTTGGTTCACAGTTTTCAATAGTATTTCTTTCAATGAACTTTTCTTTTAAGAAATGAGATAAACTAAGATATACAAAAAAATAAGTACAAGCACCTGTTTCAAATCCATTACAATCAGAAGGTGCTTACAGGTGCCTTATATGCACGCACGCACGCACGCACGCACGCACGCACGCACGCACGCACACGTATATTTGATGGTGGTTTCGAATCCCGGGTCGCCCTGACTATGTTGCTAGGTTTGTCAGCAATATAACCACGCGTTGAGCATTTAAGACCTGAATCACTTTGAACTTTCTTCTCACGTAAGGCTTATGTGATATAATACAAATGCTGATAAGAGCGGCGTTAAACCCACCTCACTCACTCATCCGCTGTTTTCTGTAGCTGTGAGGTCATGCAGCACGGGCTGGCACTTCCACGAGGATGTCTGCTACTCCTACTTCCTCACTGCCTTACCGTGGGTGGACGCCGGAAGAGCCTGCACTACCCATGACGCCCAGCTCGTCACCATCCTGGAAGAGGAGACACAGATGTTTCTCCAGGGTAGGTGGGTGAGTGAGTATGATTTTACGCCGCTTTTAGCAATATTCCAGCACTATCACGGCGGGGAAAACGAGAAATAGGCTTTACACTTCGTATCCTTTTGGGGAGTCCAGCCCGGGCCTTGGGCCTGACAAGCGAACGCTTTAACCACTTGGATTCCCTGCCACACCCTCTCGAGTGCAAGAGTTGTACCGGGGAAAAAAAATTAAAACTGATTACAATAAGATGCATTTTTGGGGAAATTTGATGTACAAAATACTTCGTTTGCAATTATGTATATATTTGGCAAAATGAAAGAAAGAGGACTGTTGATATATGATGGAAAACCGCATCTGATATCACTTATGGCCGAAATCCGTAATTTGGAGGACATTTCCAAATTTGATGCGTCAGGGACAAAAAATATGTCTGATACAACCCCTATTATGACTTGTACCACACGTTTCCGGTGAGCAGTTGACTTGTCTTTGCATGTATTTGTGACTGGTGCCACTGATGGGGCAGGACAAGCTCATAGTATCCCAAACACCTGATATTCTCACTATTTGATAGTGCTTCATATACACAAAACATGCTTATGATATTGTCGGAATCTGGACTCTGCTTCTGGCACTGATTTCTTATGAGTATGGATATGGTTTTGTTGCTTATATTTAATTAAGAGTCACTGGTGGTGTATTTGTGTAGTAATGGAAATGCTACTGGTCTATAAAGATGAATCTATAATATCATCTTCCCGAGGCAAGGGAATTGACTGACTGTAAAAGTCCAGTTTCCACCCTTGTCGAACTAGGTTGGTATTTCTTGGCTCGTCCGTAGCGCCACCAGTGGCTATTACAAGTTATGTTCCTTCTATGTCCCTCCTATTGACCAATCACAATCCACCGCTCATATTACTTGCATTTGCTTCAAACAAAATGGCGGCGCCCTGTGAAGACAGTCTGACCGATAAACAAGATCTTAATTGTAACAAAACAGGTCTTACTTCGCAAAGTGCATCAAATCACGTGAGCACCTTGATTTAAAACATGAATAGATTTGGAATATATATATATATTCATGCTAAATTGACGGTACACATGATTTGCAAATCCTGCAGTCGACCTAAATCTGCACGGCAGTTTACGAACCGGATGTCGATTTCGTTACGCAATTTTGATAGACTCTTTAATCCAGCCAAAATATTACTCAATAATTCCAGCCTAGTTCGGCAAGGGTGGAAACTGGACTTATATAGTCAGTTAATTCCCTTCCCTCGGGAAGATGCTATAATATGTGTTTCCTACGCCATCGTTTCGTCAGGCATGCTGAAGTACACCGATAGCGACTACTGGTTAGATCTCAAGTACGACGGTACCCAGCGGCAATGGCGTTGGAAGGGCAGCGGGTATGTCGTAAGTAAAATTTTATATTTATTCTAATTAATCTTCTGCAAATACAATCCGAAATGCGATCCAAAAATTACAGGAGGCCCTGTACCCAAAGGCATCGCATTTCGTTTCAGAGTTGCGGCCCTTACTACCAAGATTCGCTAGTCGTATGTTCGAATCCTAGATTATCTCAATTATGACTATTGGTTTGTCTGCACCATACCCGTGCTCGTGGGTGTCACAGACTTTGGGTACGGCTACGACCTACGTCACATTCAACAGCGATAAAACTGAAATACTGTTTAACTTCACTCATAAATCGTAAAAGCGATGCCTCAATGATAGTAAGCACGATACAGCCACGGGTGTCCCACTTCTCTAGGGTTCTGGAATACGCTGATCGTGGGTTCGAATCCCGGTTCGCCCTGATTATGAATCGTGGTTTGTCCAGACCATATTCGTGTTTGGATGTTTCAACCGCCTCCGTGGTCTAATGGTAGAGCGTCCGGCCGCGTCATACCAAAAGACGTTAAAAGATGGTACTTGTTGTTACCCTGTCTGGCGCTCGGCATTAAGGGGCTAAAACAAGGACTGGTCGGCTCGGAGTCAGTATACTGTGTAAACGCCTGAGGCCTGTATCACTTCGGGCTTTCCTTCCACTTGAGGTGACACGCCGTGATATGACTGGAATGCTAGAGAGGCGATAAACTCAACTCACTCACTCACTCCTGTAATTAGACCAACAACACTACACGCCCAGACCTTAACATAGACTTGAGGTCATCGTAATGCTAAGTTCTATTTGTGCGACTGACCACGTCATCTCCTTGTAGCCTGAGTACAGCAACTGGGCGTCGTTGTCTAAACCGCGTGAGAACGACGACAAGGCTGTGACGTGTGGGTATATGACTGGACGCCTCCGGCCCTACCAGACTTTGTCAGGAAGCGTTGGTATGTGGGGCCAGGCTGGGTGCAACACCAGGAAACGATTCATTTGTCAAAAGACACCCAGTAAGTTGAAAACATAACTTGATAAATATTAATAACGTGCATATTTATAATGCAACATTGTTTACCCCCTTCAATCGGTGCGCAATCGATTGTCATTCTCAGCTCCCTTGGGAGTACACTTCCCAAGCTACCTGTGAGAAGCAAGAAGGTTAACAGTCAAATTTCATCCTACCAGGTACATGTACCCACTGTTGGGTTAACAGCGGCGTATGCCTCTATAAATATTACATAAGTTGTATTTAAACAGTCGATGTACGTGTGTTATTGTATGTGTATAGTATGTGTTGACCTAGACTTTCGGTTGAAGCATTGTCACGCCGAACACACGCCCGAGGGCCCAGTTCGGTTCCCAACATGGATACAATGTGTTGATTCAGCTCTTTGTGTCCTTGAACATCTTTTGCCTAGAATATTACTAAAAGCGTCGTAAAACCACACTGACACACCAGTACAGTGTTTCATTTTTCTTGTTTCGTTTTGCTTAAACTAGGTTGATGATCATGAAGAGTTAAAACGATCTTAGACTATTAGGTTATAGAGGCCCTCGATGTGTCATTCAGAACATGGTCTATATATTGAAAAAATATCAATTGCATTTGTTGGTAATGGTAGGTGTCAGGTGTGTATTCAGACTTCGTGATTCTTCTATCTAACATCCACGTTTCTTTTATGCCTTCCCTTTTCGCGAAAACCTGGTGTCATCTCTGATTTTCAGTGATCCATTTATATGATTTCCATAGCTACTGTAAATCTGGAAATTAATACGTCACCAAATTAATACGACTGCTGACCCCAGTCAAAAATGTGACTCAAAATCAATGCGGCTCCCCCCCCCCCCCCCCCCCCCCTATCCCCAGTGGAATGATGCATATCCTTACCTTAATCCAATTAAACAGCAAATAGCACCGCTTATTAGCGCTGAGCAGAGCACTTCCGTAAAAACTAACTGAAAATAACACACAGTTTATATGTTTACTCTGTTCACTGGCAATAAGGAAGTTCAAAGGAAATAAAATTATTGAAGCAACAACAGGTCACTGATTGGTATGCGGAGAAAGTGTCAACAAACTTGACATGAGTGGGTAGAACTCTTGACCCCAGCAGTGATAACTCACCGGATGCCGATTGTGTAATTCCTATTCTTTGAATGACATTGTTATATACTTGTTACAACTGCTGCTCAATAAACCATGTTTGTGTTTATATTCAAGTTGGTATTTCCGCTATCCTAAGTGTGAAGTGAGGCCGTCTTATTGTTGACAGTTATTTGAAAACATAAATGCGAAGTTCGTTAATGCGAGCAAAGGCCACTCGCATTTAATTCACGCTCGTGTTAATTTCAAGATTTACAGTATTTGCCCTTTACGCCAAGTGGAAACTGTTTCGACAGAAAATCTATGATGGTTATTCTCTTGCACTGATAATTTATATTTCCAGCATTACACAAATATACCTGTGATGACGGCTGGTCTCTGTATGACAACATGTGTTTCCATGGTTACCAGACACCGGAATCTTGGAGTGTTGCAAGGCAACTATGTAGAAAGACGCACACAAACGGAGATCTCTTGACGATCGGCACACGGGATCTTCAGCAGATCATAAATAGTAATAACAATAAGTATATATTTCTACATACCTTTTAGTGTCCCTTTATTGCCTAAATTGAATAAACGTTTATATTTAAAAATTTCATGTCTGACACATTTACAGACAGAATGCGTTTTTATCAATGTTTGCATTCTGAAATATACTGTGCAAAGAAAGTTGGGGATCATGAATATTTTTTAAGGATATTTATGTAAAAATGTGTCCTTTACTATACAAATATATAATAACCCAAAATATTCATGATCCCTGACATTGTAGAGTCACTATATATTCACTGGAAGATACTTCTCATTTTCAAACTTTCCACCCTTGGTCATATATGACATCAAACGGAAATGCCTTATTTCGAAACTTAGGCGGGTTCATTCATTTTATTTCCAATACATATAGGCCACGGGCCTTTGTGTACAAAAGTTGAGTACAGACAGGTTTTAAGCGTTTAGTTTCGCATTTCTTACTTCATTTGCATAATATAGATATTTTGCTAGATTTGTAATAATATATGTATCTGGTGATGACAGAAGCATATTAAATTTATGGAAGTTAGGATGACAATAGAACTTTGCTTTGAGAGATAGTTGCCGTAACTTAAGATACGATGGACAAATAAGCAGGAAGTGGTACTCGGTTTCAACACAGTCTAATTTACAAAGTTTGCATTTTCTTAAATTTCTTGAGATTTTATAATGACGTCCATTCTCAATTTCCAAAGTATGACAACTCGGTCTGAATCTCGTGAGGGTTGTTTTCATATATTTTGCGAATTTAAGAATGACGAATAAGGTCCACATTTAACAGAAGTTTGAAAACAACGGGTTAGGCGGGTTAATGTTTGAAAATAATGTGTTTTATACATTGTTTTCAACCGCCGACTTGAAACAAATAATTAAGTCAAGTGATGTAAAACCTCATATTGACATGGGTGTGACCACATCTTGGTGTATGACCTAGGTGCTATCGTGGAGCGGCGGGTAAACTACTGGGTGGGGCTGCACTACGACCGAAGCTCAAAGGACTGGATCTGGCCGGACATTGGCAAGGTGATGCAGCGCAATGGGGAAGCTCGCCAGTATAGAATAGTATAATGAAACATTCTCGCGTTCTAGCATTTCCGTCATTTGGAAACAAACTAAACGTGCGAGATTTACCCAAAATGTCGCGTTCTCACATTCCAGCACTTGCATATACAGCTGGTTTCCAAATTCCGAGATCGCGACAATGTCCCTTACAGTAACCCATACAACAACTCAAAGGCAAAAGTAATTCATCATGTTCTTATGAATCACATTGTTATATCTAGAAGCGCAACTGTTCTTAATTGTGCTTAATATGGACCCAATAGGAGTAAAAGTATTCTTATAAAGCTTCCGATATAATTCTCTTTATTTGTTCTATGAGAAGACAACTTCTCTCATCGGCCCCTTCTTGTTTCGCATCTCCTTCAGCCCGACTACAGCAACTGGGCTCCGTCTCTTCCTGACAGCGCAAGGCGCCAGAGGGGGCAAGAATGCATGTATTTGATAGGTGGGTTGACCCACCGGTTCTACAACCAGGAGCCCCTGCTCATAGGGATGTGGGATCACGGGAGGTGTGAATCCAACCTGTATTTCTTCTGCCAGAAACCTGCAAGTAGGTTTGCTTATCCGAGAAGTCGTAGTGGATCTAACAATCCGATTCGAACCCTAGATCTATTAATCCTCATTCGTACGCCTTACATGAACAACACGACAAGGCAGATATGACAGATGATCCATACTCTGCTACAGACAACAGAACATATCAGTTTTATTGATCTCATTTCCGACTCGCTGACTTGGTTGATGTATGGCATCGTATCCCAATTAAATAGACTGAGTGAGTGAGTTGGGTTTAACGCCGCTTTTAACAGTATTCCAGTTATATCGCGGCGTGTCAGCTTAATGTGAGAGGAAAGAAGGAAGTGATGTAGGTCTCAGACGTTTACCGCTTCGGTGAAACCCACGAGTACGGGTATGGTGCTGACAAGCTTAGAAACATAATCGGGGCGAACCGGGATTCGAACGCAACTCTGCACAGCGAATCGCGGCGCCTTAAACGGGTGGCCCAACAAACAAACAAACAAACAAACAAACAAAGTTGACAAACAAACAAACAAACAAATTTACTTGATTCACTGATCCGCCTATACAAAATGTCTCAAATGTGAAGTATTACATTTCAAAGTTTTCCTGACAGGTCCGTAAACTTATTTCATTTATGAAAGAATATCAGAAGCAAAGTCATCATTTTATTCGTCGTTCAATTCCTATTGTTGCGGAACTCACTTTCAAAACATTTCAAGGACTCCTTTTGGTCCACACGATCTATATTATTTAAGAAAATAGCAAACTTAAGAAATTGTCATGAATAAGAACAAGAATGTGTCCATTTCATCTCTCACTGTACAGACCAGTCTAAAATTTGTCCAACACGTTGATGTTATGAGATGTTTTCGGGAAGCGTTTCCTAAATATTTGAACACGAGTCTTTGACCCAAGCTAATTCTCTGAAGATGTAGATTACAAGAGTACTAACATCTTTTTCAGCATAAATCTTCGGTCATGGAATTGCTCTTAGTTAGATTTTCACTACAAGTTGAAAATATTATCCTTTTCACTCATTGAAGTAATTCTAATGTTTTGATATGTCAGAAGTCCAAAAGTAGCATGTGTGAAAAAGGAAAAAAAAGACTAGTTGTCAACCATTTGAACAATTGAATTTGGAGACCAATACTTCAAAGATTTTCGTAACTTTATAACATAACATTTCAAAAGGGCCGAAAATGTCTTATTTTACCTCTTCCTTTGTGTTTTAATGCTTGAATAAGACTATCGAATCTTCGGTTCAGAAAAAGGTGGAAAAAAATAGTTTACTGATGTTGAGTGATTGATTTTATCCAGGGATTATTATTATTATTATCATCATTATTATTATTATTATCATTATTGTTATTAATATCATTATTATCATCATCATCATCATCATCATCATCATCATCATTATAATTATTATTATTATTATTATTATTATTATTATTATTATTATTATCATACTACGCTCTGTAGATGTGATGGAGCTGCCCGGTGCACAGCCAGACACCCTGACCCAGGGGCCGGTTAGGGCAACAAGCCCCGCCCCGGGAGTACACAACGCCACGGTGAAGGTCGGAAAGGCCGCTGCTGACGTGTCTCCAGACTCTGACTGGAAGAACACCAAGGTCGTCACAAACACAAAATGTAATATTGTTGTAGGTATATTGAGATCAGTCATGGGATAAGAGCATTTGCCAGGATTCCATACCTATGATACATGGTATATTTGCATTGTCAAATTTTAATACCAAATCTATCTGTTTGTACATAGCATCTTTCGAGGTAAATTGGGTACTACAGAGGATTAAATTACTCTAATCAGACCGTTCCAAGCTCAATTATCCGCATTCACGAATTTTCCCATTGGTGAATCTGTGTTACTTGGTAATGTCCCATATTCAACAATATGTCACTGTATAAACTAATACCAACGAAGTTGCGGAAAATCTGTGTATAAGCGTGGAGCACAATCCCATCGCGAGTGCCTTTGTGAAATCTTTGGATCCTAGATTCAATAAAAATGTCCTTCTTAGATGTTATAAACTACTAAAAGGGTAATCAACAGATGCCACATCACGTCTTGTTTGTCTAATAGACAGTGGTCATCAATATTAATGGCGTGATTTGGGGCGTGGTTGGCTCAGTCGTCTCAGGCGCCTCAGTTCGCTGTGTAGAGTTGCGTCACTTGTGCACGCCAGAAAGCGATGATTGTGGGTTCGAATCCCGATTCGGCCCGATTATGCTTTTCGGTATGTCGTTAAGTCTAAGACTGGCATCACTTCGGGTTTTCCTCCCACATTAAGCTGACACACCGTGACATAACTGGAATTCAATTTCAATTGTTAGTATTTAAGCGACGTTTTAACCTCACTCACTCACGTATTTAATTCATGGGCTTCTCCAGATATGACGTCCAGTGTAGGCGGTGGTCTGGCGGTTGTTGTGGCGGTTGTGAGCGGCTTTGTACTTGTAACAGTGTACTTACAAAGGTAATCAGTGTCCTCATTACTTATTATAAAACCAAGACCGCCTCCGTGGTCTAATAGAAGGTTTGGTGTTCGGTCTCCCGGCCGCGTACGTCATACCAAAAAACGTTTAAAGATGGTACTTGTTGTTACCCTGCCTGGCGCTCGGCTTTGACAGGATAAAAAAAGGACTGCTCGGCTCGAAGTCAAGATACTGTGTCTGAGTGGGGTATCCATGTTAAACTGGCATCTCAGTGGATTGGCGCTATAAAATCGACATCTAGTATAAGCACACACACACACACACACACACACACACGCACGCACGCACACGCACACGCACATGCACACGCACACGCACAGACGTGCATGTACTTCGCTACATTAGTGCAGTAATATACGCGACGTCAAACCCCATATCACCTCACCTATAAGAAAACCTAGCTATCTGAAACCCATACCATTGGTCAATCCATAAGGAATAACGTTTTAACGTTTGATGTGACCAACTATCTTGTCATGTGCTGTGGACTCTGGTAGTAAATTGAAAACCAACTAGTGTTCGTATATGTAATTTGTACACAGATTTGTTCACCGGCATTACATGTGTCATCAATGTGGATATGGGGATTGTAGATAAATGTTCGTTTAGATTCCTCGACTGGACTTTCGGGCCTACAACTCATGTCTACTTTCTTCAAGTTCCACTGGGGCGGTCGGGTAGACTAGTGGCTAAAACGTTTGCTCGTCATGTCGAAAACCCGGGTTCGATTCACCACATGGGTACAACGTGTGAAGCCCATTTCCGCCGTGATATTGCTGGAATATTGCTGAAAGAGGCGTTAAACTATACTCACTCACTAACTCACTCAAGTTTCAGTAAAGCTCACCAAAGTCACTAAAGTACCATATTGTCGATGAAATAGGACAATCTTTCCGAACTAAGATATTAACTAGGATCATACTTTCAGGAAAGGAATTGGATGTTTTGCGTCGAAAAAATTGGAAGTGTGCAAAGACCCTCCGAATACACCCCACACTGAAGACAGTGACTACGCAACTATCACCGACATCATTGAACCACAGGAATATCTCCCAGGACCACACAACGTCGACCATGATGACGGTGCCAACGACAACTGCCCTGACAGCAAACGTGGTATCAGTGTGACCAGGACATCAAAGATAACAGAAGTTGACGGTTACATTGACATCCTGGACAAAGGATCCTCGCTGAAACGGAAGGGTGGTTCTCGCAGGCACGCGTTAACAGAAAGCAAAGGCTCTCTGAGATCTCGGAACGATGGTACCGGAAGTACGTATAGTGAACAGATCCAAGGGCGTAGTGGGAGACGTGCCTTCATTGATCCCTGTGATGAGGATGAAGAGGATGAAGATGTGTCCAGACTTGACCAAGGGTTGTCAATAACAACAAGTCACTACCTGTGTCCCTGCCAAGACGAACCGACGAGCGAACCATGCATACTTTACGACTTTGCAGAATCGTGCGGAGAACAAACAGTTACTGATGTTGACGGGTCTAACGGGGCGCCGAGCGTCAGAGACCTTACTTATGCATACGAAAAGATGATACGAAGTACCGATAATGAGTATTTGGATCTCTCCGAGGACCAGGACGGCGGTTACGAGAAGCCAGTGCACCAGCAAGGAGGAACGTATCTGGATCTGTGTGGGGAGGAGGACCGGAGTATACCGCCATCATCGACATGAACAACCAGTACGTCCCTACTGGACACACCAGGTACATGTATCTCTGTAGACATGGATCCTATGTGCATCTCTATGGAGAAGTCACTTATGGACGTGCAACCTACATGTATATATCTATGGACATGCTACCTACTTGTTTGTGTATGGACATTCCACATTCGTGTATTTCAATGGCCATGCCAACTAAATGTATATCTATGGACATAAAACCTTCTAATATATCTTTGGACATGCCACAAACATATTTCTCTAAGGACATGCCATCTATGTGTTTTTCAATGGTCATGCTGGTATATTGCTGAGTGAGGCGTTAAACAACAAACAAACAAACACAAGTTGTTGCCTAAAGGTGTCAACAGTTTACTAATGTTGTACTATACAGATTACACAAGCCAAACCCATGTAATTAAATAACAAAATAATCTTGAAATATGTTGCTTGTTTGTTATAGTTATTAAACGTCAGTTAACTCCACCATCAATCCGTGAAGATCCGGGTTAGAGTTGGTCTTCAGCAGCCCATGCTTGTCGTAAACGGCGACTATGTTTGTCGTAAGAGGCGACTGAGGGGATCGGGTGGTCAGATTCGTTGACATGGTTGATGCATGTCGCCTTATCCCAATTGCGTAGATCGATGCTCATGAAGTCAATCTCTGGATTTTCTGGTCCAGACTCGATTATTTACAGACCGTCATCATATAGCTGGAATATTGCTGAGTGCGACGTTAAACAATAAACAAACAAAATTAATCCATCATCAGATGAGCAGAGCTGATGTTGAGGCAATGTCATGAAAAGGTCATGACAACAATACTTGTCATAAACGTCATTCATAAGCAACATTTTGTGTGTCACATGATTTTCTACGTAAAGCTGTTCTTTGGGTTTCACCGAAGTAATACTTGCACAAGTGTGTTAATTACCTCTAATGCAACATTTTGACATTGTGTTGTCGTGCATGAATAGATGAAACGCCGCGTTCAAGACTGATTGGGTGGGTATCATTATACACGTCACGTTCTTAAAGACATGATTATAGGTCAAGAGCAAGGTCAAAACCTGGAAAAGAAAGCAATAGTAATAGAAACACTCCCGAGACCTTCAGAATGTCATACTGATGCCCCTGGTACAAAGTTCCTCAAGTTTTCAAGATGGCCGCCATTAATTTTGAAAATGATATGAAATTTTGTAGTTTAATATTCAGCAAGATGGTAACTCGACTTGGAGGGGTTCACTTACTCATGTCGTATATGGGATCGGTTGGATATGTCATGAGTGGAAGAGGCTTAGAAGAGCTGTGGACAACTGTCTATGCCTCAAACACTAATCCGTATGATGACAGGTCATGCATATGCTCGTGCACTCCGTGCGCATCTGCATTCAACAGCAGCCATCACTCTCATGCACCTGATAGTTCTCACAATCAATGAGTTCGCACAAGTTGGAGAGATGATCCTTCTAAAGCTGTATGGAACTGTGGGGTTAAAGTCACTGGACAAACACCGCTACAAGAAGTACTTCAAATCTATTCTTCGAGCATATTTATCATCATCTGGATTCAAGTTGGAATCCCTCCTTCCAACATCAGCAGCTGCCAAATCCCAGATTATAGAGTACACCATGATGCAAAACAATGGCAGGGAAATGAACTATTACCTACAAAGTGACACCACAGAGAGGGACTACTTGTTCCCTTTGAGATTGACCTGTTGCTCTTCTGCAGTCCTGAAGATGATATCTGGGAGGCGATGTACTTGCTACAAAGCAGGGCTGGTGTGCACTTTCCTATGCTCAGGATGTAGTGTTTACAACTGGAAAAATGCTCGTCATTGAGCTACAATATGAAGCAGCTCATGAACACTATAATGACGCTGAACATAATTCCCAGGGACCTAATATGCTCTCGGCTCTACCGGGTGATTGGTTGTAATAGTACTTGGCTGTTCTATTATTATGTAAGAAAGTATTATTACTCTTGTATTGAAATAAGAAGATGGTCTGTACTGATTACCCGTCTGATTAAAAAATGCAAAATCCGAAATCCCTGTTTTTATTTCCTAGATTGTTTTTATCATTATCAAACCTGAATATTACCGGATATTCCGCAAAAAATAAATTGGTATATAGTTCTTTAAATACTTTTAAACACACCCTAATTAAAGCAAAAGGTTAAATCAAGTAGGTTTTGAAAGCTCATAAATAAAGCTTTCGTTTGATATGACGTTTTTATTATCATATATCATGAATGAATATTAAAGTTCATATCATTTTCAATAATTATGATGGTCATCTTGGAAAAGGCGGCCATTGTGAAAACGACTTTGCTCCAGGGACATCAGTAGAACTTTGGTCATGTCTCCAGGACATTTCAGCATTCTACTGTTTTTTACAAGTTATAGCAAATGCCCCTGGCCGAATAAAGTGACAAGGATAATATGAGAGAATGTTTATGTTTCTTTATTCGGTGGCATATATAGTCCAGTCTTATATATTCCACAACTCACCGTGCAGCCGTTTGGATGGATGGGTTTAGTTTATCTCCACTTTAAACTGTTACAGTATGCAGGTCGTCGGGGTTTACCTTTCCCAGATCCCACGGGGGTGGTGCTGGCGAACCGAGGATCATTATCAGACCGAACCTTGGTTCCAGTCCACCAACCAAAGGGTCCAAAGATGGCGGAAGGTGCTTGTCTATACATGCCAATCATATCTCAAAGTGACAGCACACAAAGCAGTGTTAACCATCTTTATTGATAACAACCCTGGACGGGTGGGGGTGAAAACAGTTCTTTAACAATAACATGCCTGTGCCCTAGTACAATACAAATACACATGTACAATGGGTTGGTGTTATTAACGGTTCCATGATGAACAAGGACATGTGCTTATGGATAGACAACTTCAGTTGTATTATCTATCTTCAGCGGTTCAAGACAGTTTGTCAAAACTGAATAATGCCAACTGAAGCTTTCTAAGAAAACAATATGTGAAATGCTGGACCTCCTCAGTGATAACATCTCTGTAAAATTTGGTCAAACGACATTTAAGCAAAAAGAAGGCATCCCCACGGGCGCCAGTTGTGCTCCCCTTCTTGCTGGTGTGTTGCTCTATGCATATGAATAGGATTTTCTTATCAGATTGACAAAGTCAAAACAAGGTAATTTGGCCAAGACGTTTAGCTTAAGTTTCAGTGAGTGAGTATGGTTTTACGCCGCTTTTAGCAATATTCCAGCAATATCACGGCGGGGGACACCAGAAATGGGCTTCACACATTGTACCCATGTCGGGAATCGAACCCGGGTCTTCGGCGTGACGAGCGAACGCTTTAACCACTAGGCTACCCGACCACCCCGCTTAAGTTTCAGATATATCGATGATCTGATATCGTTCATTAACAATCAAATAGCCAATTCCCTAAATTGATTTATCCACCTGAATTAGAAATACAAGGACCAGTGAGACACCTCATCTGTTTCATATTTAGATCTATGTTTACAGATTGAGAGTGACAAAACACTCCCCACAAGACTGTATAACAAGAGGGGTGACTTCAACTTTCCAATAGTCAATTTTCCCGTTATGTCGAGCAATATTCCAGCAGCTCCAGTCTTTGGTGTTTACATTTCACAACTTTTGAGGTACAATCGAGCATGCTCTTTCTGCCAAGACATCAATGAGCGTCATACGACTCTTGCTCAGAAGTTGTTTGATCAAGGTTACAACATTCAAGGCCTCAGTAAAGCATTCAAAATGTTTTATGGTAGACATGTATGGGACAATTTTAAATTTGACACATCAGTGACAAAAATGATGCCACATGCAATTCCCTATTTTTACTCGTACCATGTGTTCCTGTGCTTTTTCAGGTGCAAAATGACTTGTCTGTGCATGTGTTTGTGACGGGAGCCAGGATACGCTAACCTTTTCGCCTTGTTTCATCCCTATTTGATAGTAATTCATAACACATTCTCATGATATAGTTGGAATCGTACATTTGACTCTGCTTTTCGCAGAGATTTCTTATGAATTTGGAAAGGGTTTTGTCGCTTTTATTTACAACTGAGCGTTTATCCACAAGAACTTGTCCTTGTCGACCACATCAAAGTTCTGAATGCCACTCAAACAAAATCCATGACCAATTCCATGAACTAGACACTTGAATAGGAACATATTTAAATTATTAACATCCAAGGTTCCCGCTTTGATAATATTCTTGGGGTAACAACAAAAGAATCCCCCTCGCACACGAAGGGACTGACTTATAGGGGAGGATCTTGGATTCAAACCACGAATAGCGGATCCTGTCACGGCTCAGGAACGGAACTCTACACAGCGAGTACCACTGAGCCACTCATACCCATTTAGTGGTAAGAGAATCATTCCTGTAACACACTCCGGGGCACCAAAACAGTGCCAGTATTGATGTCACAATCACAAGGGCGTGACGAGAATGACATGAGTCACATGAAATCAGAAACTGTGACAAAATAGAAAAAAGAAAATGTAACAATCACATCTCCATAATCACCATGTTGCAATTCATACAAAGAATGAATTGAGCAACAGTGAAATCTTTTGTGGACTTTACACGATGTCCATTTTCCAAAGGTCACAGACCCCTGCTTATTTCACTGACCATTAACAGAGAAACAATCTGCTCACTGACTCAAAGTTTAGTGTATACTTTTTTTACATCATCTTATGTCCACAACAAACGATGTCCATTGAGTGAGGTTCAGAACCCATCAATCTACCCTCGTAACTTGGGGGGGGGGGGGGAACCAGAAACCTATGATTGTGGGTTCGAATCCCGGTTTGCCCCGATTATGCTTCTAGGTTTGTCGGTGTGTTTCGCCGAAGTGGTAAAAGTCTGAGACCTGTATCCCTTCGGGCCTGCCTCCCACATTAAGCTGACACGCCGTGATGTAACTGGAATACTGTTAAAAGTGGCGTTAAACCCAACTCACTCACTCTTAACTTCGTGTTAACGTGTGTCCTTCTAACGAGGTATAAGACTGAGCACTGCTTTCCTTTAGCAGACTTGAAACATATAAGTTGATAGTTCCCTTTAGTTTTCGAGCTGCCTCATAATCTTATTTTTAACCAACGCTTTAAGTTCATTTAAACGCTGCTTGGAACAGTACTAGTTTCAGTGGTCTCCAAGCTTGCTAGCTTAATGTGAGAGGAAAAGCCCACAAAGACGCTCTTCGTGGACGTTCATCACTGTGATGAAGCTCAGGGGCACACGCAGGATGCTGAGAATCCGAGGATCATATTCGGTGTGAATCTGGGAATTGAACCGAATCCTGGGATACAGAGGGTTGTTTCAGAAAATAGAACTTCTCTCTGCGATTGGACGATAGTGATATTTGATTTCAGTCATAAGACTCGATCATACAAATATAATTATACCAAATTAATATCGAATATCAAGGAAGCAACAACAGTATATAGATATATTAAAACTTGGCATAGAAATATGTTTATTGACCCGCTATGTAGTGTGTGACAAAGTGTAGTTAAAGCGCGGAGTGAGGCTTGCTGCCAAACCCCAGAAGAGTTTTGGCTATACACGCTGTTGCAAAGCCTTTCGTGCAATGTGTATCGTTACGCAGATTGTTACGATAAACAGTTACAAAGGTTTGGTTCAGTTAAGTTGAAAGTAAAATACTTGATAGTTTATGTGAAAAATGCTAAAGAAATAAAAACTTGTTGAGTTCTAAACACAAAATAAAAAAGGTAATAAGACGTCATGACAACTAAAGTCTGATTTTAGAGTTCTTCATTTTCGATACTCCAATACCCAGATATTAACCTCATGCTAGGGAACATAGACAGGCTTATTCAGTTCACACCTGTTGTAGGGTGAGGTGACGCCGTTGTGAAGAGTATTTCAGTTATATCACGGCTTGTCAGATTAATGTGAGAAGCCCACACTGAGGGAGGTCTCAAACATTTATAATCATGGCGAAGCTGGGATTCAAACCCATCACCAGCAGATCCTGAAACCGACAAGGGACACAACTATGCGCCTTTCATGTCTTGGTCACCGGTGCCACCCAATACAGCACGTACACATGAATGACCCCTGTAATAGTTTATACATATATAGGAAATGTACATTATGAAACATTTGTACCAAACTTAATCTTTGAACCATTTCTTAATTTATTCACATATAGCAACATCCGTTCTATTTGTCATGTGTCATGTGTGCGTGTCATGCTATATACAGATGAATGTGTGTTTGTCGTGATATGATATACACATAGTATTACACATGATTTCGCAACCATTCGTTTTTTGCTGCAACATTAATGCAAACATAAAATCTCTGTACATCTCAACGAAAAATATATTATATTTGCCACATTTTGCCAATTAAATATACAACAATGTCAGGTAAAATGTGTAAATGAGTGAGTTTGGTTTTTCACCGCTTTTAGCAATATTCCAGCACTATCGCGTGGAGGGACACCAGAAATGGGCTTCACACATTGTACCCATTTGGGAATCGGACCCCGGTCTTCAGCGTGACAACGAACGCTTTAACCACCGCCCATGTCGGGCAAAGTATCACAACTATACATATATTCCCTGTCACATAGCACATGTAAAGTTAAATCCCGTTAACTCAGGTGGAACCATTCTGGGTTAAAACGACCGGATTAATATATTTCTGGATTAGGTAACCATGGATACGGTGTCCCGTTATTATTTATACACCTGGAAAAAGGTGAAGCATCACCACTTTTTTCTTTTGCCATATCTTGAGTTCCCTTATATCTTTCCAATATCTACATAATTATGATATTGATCTCGTTTTGACACATTTCCAAGATATCGCCGATATTCCTTTGGTATTTGGGACATGAACAATATTATCATCTCGATGGTCGTAAATACTGCGTCATATCTTATGTTCATCTCGATGGTCGTAAATACTGCGTCATATCTTATGTTCATCTCGATGGTCGTAAATACTGCGTCATATCTTATGTTCATCTCGATGGTCGTAAATACTGCGTCATATCTTATGTTCATCACGATGGTCGTAAATACTGCGCCATATCTTATGACTGATTTCAAGAAGCAAAGGAAGGAATGGTCCTCCTGTAATTATTACAAAACTTAATAGATTACCGAATTCGGTTTCTGTATTTTAACACAAGTATGTCACACTTTGAAGAGAAACTTATGTTTTGTTAGAAAATCAGAAAATGGCAACTGTTAACGGAAAACACACAGTAGGAGGTGTTTAACTTTTTTCCAAGTGTATAGAAGCTCTCAACAGGATTCAGTGTCATTGTTTCGATATGATTTCAAAAGATGTGAATAAAGCGTTCAAGCTACTTTGTCAAATTGGTAATAGTAAAAGTATTAGTACAATCATTGCCTTTGTATATGTATGGAACGTTAGATTTAGTAGTATCGGTAGCATGGCGAACGCTAGCCAACCGACCCTTACGTTTAGAAGCAGACACGTGAGGAGATATGTGATTAGATAAGAACTTGCTTCTATTTGCTAATTATTTGAATGTGTGTTCAGAGATAGGCACAGCAAGGTCCAAGGAAGGTAACTCTTTGTCAAATCCATCTTTGCCTTTCAGGAAATATGTAACAACTGTTCCTTTGCCCTGAAAGATAAAGCAATATTTTATATAAAAAACTCTCTTTTATTAACAAAAGTACTCCTCTTTATAAACTCAAAAAGATAAACTGCCGGACAAAAAAAAGTATCCACTTGGGTATGACCAACAAATTACAAACGTTAAACAACGTACCTAGGCTGAAAACAGTCGCCGAAACACTGCAAAGTTAAGGTCCAAAACTACGTTTATAACGAACACGCTTATAACGAACTGACGGATATACCGAATTTAATTTTAGTTCCGGCAATTTGTTGTATACATGCTTATACTAAACTACGGTTATAGCGAACTAAAATTAGTGGTCCCTTTGAATTCGTTATAACCGTAGTTTACTGTATTTGTTTTTTGCCCGGGAGTGTATTGGTCATGAAATTATGTTCGTTCGTGTACAACATCAAGAGAGGGAGTTGGATATTATATCACTTTTAGCAACATTTATATTGTAAATAATAAACATATAACAGCGGGGGAAGAACAACACATACACGGAACCGAACCACCGTTTACATGGTGACGAGCAACACACGGACCACTGGACCACCAAGCAGTGGTAGCACCAACTACCAATTTCAGATATTCTACATTGGCAGTCTCGGTTACCGATTATCTATCACAAAGTTAACGCTTTTTTTTGGGGGGGGGGGGGGGGGGGGGAGTGATGCACGTCTCAGACGATTACGACTTTGGCGAGACCCACGAGCATAATCGTATCGAAGTGCGATTCAAACCAACGATCATAGGTTTCTGGCGTGCAAATTTGACGCAACACTGCACATCGACGTGAGTGGGTGAGTGAGTGAGTGAGGTCATCTTGGATTTGAAAAGTATTCCAGTTATATCACGGCGTGTCAGCTGGATGTGAACACGTACACATGCTGTGTCGAACCTGCTCATGTGATCAACACATTTACTAGAAGGTACTGTTTATAGTGACTAATAGGAGTTAATTATTCTGTGTGAAAGCATTGCTACAACGGTAGTTGTTGCGTTGTTGTCGCTTTGTCGAACCTACTCATGTGATCAACACATTTACTAGAAGGTACTGTTTAATAGTGACTATTAGGAGTTAATTATTCTGTGTTAAAGCATAGCTACAACGGTAGTTGTTGCGTTGTGGTCGATTTGTGAAAACGGGGCCAAGACCTCGTCACAGACTGACCTGTCCCTTGACGATAATGTCATGTGATCAGATGATCACAACGCATCACCTGGGACATTGCGTGTCATGATATCAGATGGTCACAATGTCATATTACCAGATGGTTACAATACATGACCTTGGCGATTTTGTGTCTTGGTGTTCCGACGGTGTCGATCACTGCACCTTATACCATGTTGATCTAGTGACCCGATGAGGTCCCCAGCACCTAAATCTTGTCGGAAGATCCAACTACTGGGGATCTGGGCACATCTTCACAAACCGACCTTAGCGCTAACTCCTATACTTTAACTTAAACAGTCGTAGCGCTAAGATCGCTTTGTGGAAGGGCACCTAGTGGAATGCACTGTGACCTGGATGATTGCATCATCTTATGTTGATCACTGCCCACGCTATCTATCCACTTGTTGATCTGGTCCAGACTCGACGGAAGGTCGAGGTTTTGATCCCGGGCCGCGTCATATCAAAGGACGTTAAAAGAGGTCACTTGTTGTTACCCTGTCTGGAGCTCGGTATAAAGGGGCTAAAACAAGGACTGGTCGGATCGGAGTCAGTATACTGTGTCTGAGTGGGGTATTCATGTTAAACTGCGGCATGGTATCTCAGTGGGCTAACACAAGCATAACTAGGAATTAGTACAAGCAGACACACACACACACACACACACACACACACACACACACACACACACACACACACACACACACACACACACACACACACACACACACTAACACACTAACACACACACACACACTAACACACACACTAACACTCAAACACAATCACACTCAAACACAATCACACTCAAACACAATCACACTCACACGCACACACTCACACTCCCACACAATCACACTCACAACAATCACAATCGCACCCACACACACACACACACAATCACAAACACGCAAAATAACACTCAAACACAATCACAAACACACACACAATCACATTCACAACAATCACACTCACAATCGCACACACACACAATCACAATCACACACACTAACACTTAAACACAATAACACTTAAACACAATCACACTCACACGCACACACTCACACTCTCACACAATCACACTCACAACAATCACAATCGCACCCACACCCACACACACACAATCACAATCACGCAAAATAACACTCAAACACAATCACAGACACACACACAATCATATTCATAACAATCGCACACGCACACACACACACACACACACACACACAATCACAATCACACACAATAACACTCAAACACACTCACACAACAATCACACTCACAACAATGACAATCGCACACACGCACGCACGCACACACGCACGCACGCACGCACGCACGCGCGCGCGACGTTAAGCCCCATTTCATTTAATCCCACTTGACTTCTCACAGGCCGTCAGCAGCACAGTGATATTACTGAGTGCATAAGACATAAAACTTGTCCTCTTCCCTGGAGACACACTGACCTTCATTGTAACCTCTCCCCTGTCCTCCAAATGGAACCCTCCTAGTTTGTCCAGCACCAACTTGCATTCGGGGCTCACATGGATCTGCAGAGCTGCAGCAGGAATAATACAATCTGAAGAAGCGGATCAGCAGCCTTCGCAATATAATGATTCAGCAATGGATCGAGTAGTAAGCTGATACTGGTATCTATATTTTTACTTCCGTCAAATATAGGCTTACACATTAT